TTGGTAGGCCAACATTTTACTTTTATAGTAATGCCATTTATTAGACTAGATAGATATTCATGGCTGAATGTCCATTACCCTATATCCTATGCGACTCTTGAAATATAGTGAAATGGTCAAAATGCTCCCAACGTGCCAGCCATAGACAAGTGATGTGGTTTGCAAACAGATTAACTATGCAAAATATAATACATAGGTCTGCCTTTAACTTCCATCATTTCTACGCTCTAATTTGCTATACATTGTGTACTTTTAATATGAAATTCATTGAAGATGTCATTTATGGAGTATATTAGGAATTATAGCATTCTAAGACCGCGAGTTTAATTGATACAGAATTTATTTAAGTTCAACTGTGTAAGAAGCCATAAAGCTTACAGACACACACTCAAACCCGTTCCTGGAGCTATCAAGTACTGAGCAAATCAGCGTAAAGTTTTTTTGCTCATGGAAACAGCGGCTTTTTGGTTACATTACCATTTAGCTGGACCTACGATAATTTGGTAATAAATGTTACTGCATAATTCAAAGCCATATTAAATTGATTATTATTTGCAATGTGATGTGATATCGAAATAAGAAATTCGAAAATTACTCCCAAAAGTTTAACATAACGCCACTATTTCACACCCGGTTAGAATATTTCAATATCTATTTCGCACGTGATTATGGTTTTGATAGAAAATTGCCTCTCCATAAAAATGTCACAAAATAAATCAAAGAAAACCAAAGTTACTATATGAAAAGCTCAATATCAACATTACTGATATTTACTTTTGAACCATTGTTGAATTTGATATAAATTTGATATAAAAAATCTTATAAAAAATCTTGGGTCAAATTTTCGGCTCTATGATTCACATTCCCGTGGTAATTGGGGCCCCATTATCGGGCTATAAAATGTGAGAAATTGATATAGAATTTCTTAAAATTATAATCACATATGTTCTTTTTATTCCAGAGTGCGAGCACGACTCGCCTCATTTCGTGTTATGATTTATGCCCTAGAAAATGCACCACCCATATTTCAACACATTTGTCACACAAAAACGTGGTGGTTTTACATTTTAAAAGGAAAGCTTCAACATAAATTTACAATCTTGATGGGCTATCGTTTTGTAAGTGTATTAATACTTCTACAAAGTCATTAAGGCTATCTCCTGGTTGCTAATGTATGAAATTAATGCCCGATACCCTTTACGATAATATCGGGTGTATCAAATGTCCATTTATACGAAATATATCACACCTTTTAGTGGGTATAGTCTAAGTGACCCGTGTCGGTAAGATATCGCCATCATCATTATGATAATATTAATATTCATGACAAAGTTGTTTTCAGAGTTGTTTATTTTTTATTCCGTCTAGTATAATACGGTCTATTGTCGTTGGGAGCCTATTTCCATATCCTGAAATATGTAAATTGTTTGAAATCATTTTCCAACTGAATTGTGGCTACAATTTATTAACAGATATTGTCAAACGTTTGAATTTTAATGTTGCATTTACATTTCTTCTGACATATATGTTTAACATCAGAATGCCACAAAGCAAATAAGTGTTTTCGAATTTAACTTATCACTTGCCCCTATGTGTCCTTATTTGCCTAAGATTAATACTTGAAAGTCCAATTTCCAGCACCAGGCAATATCTGAAAACATTGTACCAACATATTGAATATGGATCTGTTACATGAGCAGCCCTGAATGTTTAACCTAATTCTTATGGTTTATTCTAATGATGTTAAGTTCCTGAAAACTGTCCTATAATGTGATTTAATAACATTTTTTGTACAAACCATCAGATTTAATACATATATCCCCCAGAACAAAATTTGTTGGTTCGAAGCATAGTGGACACACGACTTTGTTTCCTTGACGGACAATGAGTTCGCTAAATTGTCGAGGAGGCGGTAACGGATTTGTCAAACGTTTCTATTGTATGCAACTGTTGTTTTAATTCAATTCTCCCATTTTTCTTTAAAGGCCCATCATGCCTCAGAATTCCTTTACTTTCATTTCTCAAAAACTTTTCTATTTTGGTGCACTTTTATAGTATCCAAAAAGATACTCATTGGCCAATTACCTGAACCATTTTTTTTATCTGTTGCTTTTTAGCAATAATTACATTTACAAATAGTGAATTGGTATTTTGTATGGAAGCAGGGTCTTTCATATTCTATTTGAAAGACCCTAATGGAAGTCAAAATAATGCTTTTTACATTTTGCTACATTTATGACAAACTATTTCACATTTATCGCTTTTTTCTTTAGATAACAATCATCTAACATTCTCTAAAACTCTAAAACCATTGATTCAATATTATATAAAATTCATGTTTGACCTTTCTAAAGAAGTAAAAGTTCATTTGTGTCTGAAGTATAATGTGCCTTTAAGTGAAAACCAGTAAAGTAACTATATGTTATCATACCATTACGTGACATTTATATGTGACTAATAAAATTTAAGCATGCATGTAACATATGCGTTATAACAATTAAGTTAAATACCGGAGGTTATAAAATTAACATTTCTATCTACCTTGAATCAATATTATATCGCATGGTTGGATTATAATTTACTAAACGACATCAGCAGTAAAAAAACATGGCAAAAAAATATCGCATAATGAAATTTAAGGGAGCATGTCACACCATGATCTCAGCAATTTATGTATAACTATATTGTTCGTCTGTCACGTATTATTATTTTATTTATTTATTTTTTGTCCATTTTTCCCCAGCAATGTTTTTTTTATACATTTTGTATATTTTATTTTTTACTTTTTTGGTGTCTGTTATATAATTTCCAAAAAGTTACTCATTGGCTAATTGCCCGAGCCATATTTTGCTTCTGTTGCCATTTACCATTAGTACAGTTAAAGTAATTTAGTATTTTGTATGGAATTCAAAATAATTCTCTGTTTACAATGTGCTACTTTTATTACAAATACTTTCACATTCAGCGCTTATATTGGTGTCAACATCGCAAATAATCTCTCATGGAATGGACAACACAGAATCTACCATTAAGAAGGCCAACAACTCCCTATCATTCCTTAGGAGACACATCACAAGCTGCCCACAATACATCAAGGCTCGGGCCTACAAGACCCTCGTTAGACCAATCCTCGAGTACGCAGGCACAGTCTGGGACCCACACACAGCCACCAACATCAACCAGCTGGGAGCTGTCCAGAGGCGAGCTGTCCGATTGGTAAAAGGTGATAACAAGGCAACCAGCAGCACCACTGCAATGATGGCAGACCTAGGCTGGCCAACTCTACAGCATCGCCGCTCCAATGCGAAGCTACATGTAGTGATGGTCTACAGGATCACGCACAACCTCATAGCCATCCCAGCTGCACAGTACTTCCAATCCCTGACACTTGGTGGTCATGGCTACGGACACAGATTCCATGTCCCAGAACAGACACCATGAAGTTCCTTTTACCTTCAGCCATCCGCCTGTGGAACCAGCTTCCAGAGCACCTAGTCACAGCAGTCAACATTGAGGCATTCAATGGAGGACTGGTCATGGGGCCATAATATGCCGGAGTTGATTTTATTTTTAACCTATTCTTCTTTAAAACATTCACTTATTCGCCGCACAACACTTGGTACATACATCCTGTACGTTAATGCCCCAGAGCGGGTTTTGTGCAGTACTGGAAGAAGAAGAAGGTTTAGACATGTTTCTGCCTCCAGTAATAAGGCTGAAATATTACCACGTGACCATAACAGTTTTAGGTAAAGAAAAAGTAAGCCTCGCCGCCATACATGTTAAAGTAAGGGTCTTCATTATCATAAGATAAGTTTATCTCATTATTAAAGTACATTTGCAAGCCATTAAGACAGAAATGAACAAGCAATAAAAGGGAGGCACCTCTTATTTCTGATATGTATGTGTGTGATACAGGGTTATCTGCAATTTTTATATAACAAAGAAATATGCTTTAGATTTTCTGGAAACTGGCCTTTACTTAAAATTGTGTAAAATAAAATCACTAATGTGGCGGGCTAGAGAGGATTTTCTTGCAGTCATATTTATCAATGACGTTAGGTGGAATTCGATAAACTCGTGTATATATCTGAAAAGGGGGTAATCTATCGGAAGCATTAAAAACAACAAAAACATGAAATGGTAGAATCGGTTTAATTGAGTATGTACATGGGGAATAATGAAAAGGTGCAATATCCCTTACGCCCCCCCCCCCATCCCCCACCCAGCACCGGCTTGGGCGTTACACAATTTTCAACACTTAATTAATGTGCAGGAAGAGCGGTACTAAATTTTCATCACTTTTTGTGCTAGAATCAATGATCCCGAAGCAACAGAAAAATATAACCACACTGAGGTGAAATATGGGGCAGTTTTTTTTACAGCCCACGCGGCGCATTTTACACTTGCTGGTGTGAAGTCTTACGTATGGATTTTTGATATTTCATGTTCAGCCGCCAAACTAAAAGCAAATTGTTGTGATGACGGATGGTGTCTATAATTATTAATTTTATCTATGCTTGATGGGTGTATGTAGATATATTGTAAAATTGCTTGACTGTATACAAATATTTTGGCTGGTCTGTTTAACTAGTAGGTTTTTCACATAGTCCGAAATTCAAAATTATTAAATCGTATCAAATAAGAATAATTTACAGCCCATATACCATGGAGCTTAATATAAGATAAGATATATTGTTTATATATCTGTGCTCATACTGTACTCAAAAGTCGTATAGATGTTTATTTTTATTAAAAAAGAGACTGTGGAGCAGCTACCAGTATTTTCAAATATCATATTTGAGCATATGCATCTTTAGTGGCGATTGGTCTTGTGGGTAATAGCCCACTGTTTTAGTTCTACCCGGGAGCCAATATATTTAAGTACAGAAGCAAACTCGTAAGTCATTTTACGTGGTTTGACGAAGAAAGACGAGTTATTACATCACTGCCGATTGAAGTGTATAATATGAACTTTGAAGTATTATATTTAGCGGCGTATCACCTTAATTTTGTTGATATGAAGACGACAACGCCAGTTCACCGGTATAATTCGTTAATTTATAATAATTAAGCATGGAGGAAATCAGCGATCGCGTGCAAAAAGCAACAACCAAAATATTTACGGAGCTAGATAGAGATCTAATCCGTCAAATGCAGGTATTGAATAAAACATAATAAAATGTGACCATACCAAGCGCTCAAATTCTTATATTTATAATTTCTCTGTAAACATTAACATTTTCGGATGTAGCTGAAATTTCGGATATTGTTGGGAGAAACTTGTTGTTTTTTTCATTTGTGTAGTATATTATCGACCAGTTGTCTTAAGCGATCTTTAATTTGAAGATGTATTGTGTTGCTATAAGCATGTCTCTTTTGTCTCCTCTTGGCTTGTTTAAATGGTTGTATTTATCGTTGACCTTCAAATTCAACATTTGACCTAAAATTGTTTTACATAACATTAACAAGGACTATTAACAGGTCTAGTATATCGACAGATTAGTATATGATGCACCAGTATGTGTATGTTACACTAATTAATGTATTTTATGATGCACCAGTTAGTGTACCAGACTATCATGCAAATCTTTGAAGACCCATTATTTTGATAATATAACATTGTGAATTGGATTTCGAGTCATTTCGGCCTCAGGACGTATCGGCCCCAAATTACCCAAGACGCTTCAGCACCGGATGTTTCGACCCTTTACCAAATCGGTCCAATATTTAGTAGAGAATAAGTCTTACCATTAAGTGTTTTATACCAGACTTTTAAATAGCATTTCAATAAATGAATGAAGAGTCTAGTGAAAATGCCCAATCAGGCTTATGTCATAAAAAATCATATTTCAAGAAAAGAAATAAAGATATTTCTTTTAAACTTTGTTTGTTTATTGAGAACAATATTTGACATAAACAGAAAGAAAATTTTTTGCTACTGTCACTTTTGTAAGATTTATTTCCCTTTTTTCATGTTTTTATAACACATAATTTTTGAAGTCATTAAAAAGTATGTTACATATGCAAAGTCACTTTAGTGTAAAACAAAATAGGTTAAATAACTTCTTTATACTCTAATTCATTGGGCCAACACCTGTCAGCATACATTTCATTCAGTTTTCAGAGAAAACTTCAAAGTATAATGTTCAGTGTCAAAGAATTGTCAAAATGTAAATGCCAGAAACAGAATATTTAATCCAAATATATAGAATGAAGGTATTGCGCAATAATCTAGACTTTTACAAGTCTCGTGAGCTTGGGTTGGCTCTCATTTTTATGCCACAGCAGCATCTGCGATGCGGTGGCATATAGTGATTCACGTATGTGTGTGTGTTTGTGTGTGTGTTATATAGATTATATAGTGAACTTAAAAAATCTTCTTGTGAAAAACCACTAGTCCAATTTCAACCAAACTTGGCAGGATTGATCCTTGGGTGAAGGGCTTCCAAAATTGTTCAAAGAATTTCATTCCATGCAGAAATCTGGTTGCCATGGCAACCAAAAGGAATTATAAGAATAAATTTAAAAAATCTTCTTGTAAAGACACAAAAGGCCTAGAGCTTAGATATTTTGCATAAGGCATTGTCTGGTAGACCTCTAACAAGATTCTTCAAATTATAGCCCAGGGGTCAAAATTGGCCCCGCCCCGGGGGTCATGGATTTTCACTATGTACATACAGTAAAAACTTAAAATACCTTCTTGTAAAAACCCAAAAGGCCTAGAGCTTAGATATTTTGCATAAGGCATCATCTGGTAGACCCTTACCAAGATTGTTCAAATTATAGCCCTTGGGTCAAAATCGGCCCCGCCCCGGGGTCATTGATTTTCGCTATATGTACATATAGTAAAAACTTAAAACACCTTCTTGTAAAGACCCAAAAGGCCTAGAGCTTAGATATTTTGCATAAGGCATTGTCTGGTAGACCTCTACCCAGATTGTTCAAATTATAGCCCTGGGGTCAAAATCGGCCCAGCCCCAGGGGTCATTGGTTTTCCTTATATTTATATAGTAAAAGCTTAAAAAAGATTTTTCTAGCAATTGACAAGTGCTAGAGTTAAGATATTTTGCATGAAACATTGTGTAGTGAACCTCTAGCAAGATTGTTCAAATTATAGCCCTGGGGTCAAAATTGGTTCCGCCCCGGGGGTCATTGATTTTCATTATGTACATATAGTGAAAAAAAAAAAAATTTGTCTGAAGGTTCAAGGCATAGAGCTTTGATGTTTGATGTTTAATATCATCACCAAAGTTGTTCAAATGTCAAAAATTGGCCCTGCCTGGGGGCAGTGATTCTCATTATGTACACGTAGTAAAAACAGAAAATAGAACAAATGTTTTCTGAATGGGAGAAAGCTATAGCTTAGATATTTGACTTGAAATGTTGTTTGGTGGACCTGTATCAAGATTGTTATTAAACCCTTGGGCCAAAATTATGCCTTGCCCAAGGGGATAGTGACCTACTTTCTTGTCCTTTGATGTACAGCAATGACATTTTGACCATGTGCACAGTTTTATTTGTAAAATTGAACTTTGACCTAGATTTTGATGATGTGACCTACTTTCTTGCTTTGATGTACAGCTATGAAATTTGAACCATGCGGTGGCATAGCATTTTTCTCAAATGCAATCTTGTTTCCCCTAAATATGATAGTATACCACTGTAAAAAAATGTCAGACTCCAACTTACACTTTTCTGAATGGACCTGGGTCATTTTGGAAGGTAACTGATTAGGTTGCAGATGTCTGTGCATTGTATATTGTCTTAAGTAGAATCGTCAGTGGTTATACTCAAGTGTGCCTCTGTGAGTTATTTCAGGCACAAACAGGCACTGAGGTCAACCCCCACAAGTAAAGCTAGTGCAACATAAAACCTATTAAAAAAAGTCTTGATTAGTCTTGCATAAATTTGTAAATGTAATGCAATATTGTTATATATTTTATGTACTGAACTATTTTTGCTGCATGTTTCTACAGTTTATCAACACTTGTTTTACAGGGTGACATGCACAGATGTAGTGCAAAGTGCTGTGATGTTAAAACATCAGGATTAGATGATGTGCAGAGGTGTGTAGAAAATTGTTCCATACCTTTAACTCAAGCACAGAATTTCATGCAACAAGAAGTGGAAAACTTTCAGGTGAATTTCTAAAGATTTTTAAACTTTTCAAAGGAAATTGAAGCTATACTTCTCACTTCTGACTTCTACTTTAAATTAATTGTTTAAGACAAGTTTGGCTAAGGTTTTGTATGCAATGACATGTTTCATTTACCACTGTCAGACATGTTTAATTCACACGTGTTTGAATCATTATTGTCCATAGACTACATACCCCTTTTAAGTTGTGTTTTTCAAGCAACTCTCATCCACTGAATGGATCATTGATCAACCATAACATTAGCATGAATATTAATTATATTTCTTCAAACTCAGTTCAATTGTTCACCTCAAAAAAGTGATATGCAGAGTTCATGCTACCTCTATGCTGGTTCAAGGTCACAGTTATAGGTCAAATGTCTAATTAAACTGTGTCTTTACTATTTTATTTCCACACTCATGGTATGTCTGTCTTGTAACTTTAATAGCTCAAATGTCCACCTTCAAAAGGAATCATAAATGGACATACATTAAATCCTGGGCCAGGACAATCATCACTTCTGTGACAGCTCAGCAGTTTATTAGCTCTGCTTTCTGAAGGAGAATAGTTGAGGTCATGGCCTACTGTTTGCGTTGGTTAACTTCAATTCTAACAAAGCTTAAACCTTAAAATGTCACTCATATGTAGATGCATGTTGATTAGTGTTCTACCTTTCATACCAATTTGGTAAAAGGTCAAGGTCAGTATGACCTGCAAAAGATAAATCATGTGTTCGGTGCAAAACAGCTGTAACTTAGATTACAAAATGAAGCCAAGGAGTTATGTCTGTTTTGCACTGATCTATCGAAATGGCTAAGGTCCATTTCTCAGAAACTACTATAAAAACTCCACTGTAAACCTAGTAAACTTGCCATATAGTAAGGAGTAAGACAGATATGTCAGGATGTTCATTAGGCATGAAATCCAGAGGGTCAAAGAGTCATTTCTAGGGTCAAACGGACACCCTGTATGTATGTTCTTGTATATGCCTTTCCATTTTAAGCTTGACTATTGGAAAAATAGCGAGAGCTTTTATACTCACTTTGAAGTCGGCATTACTGTCGTCATACTTTGCTTAAGCTTTTGTGTGCAAGTCGGTATCTCTAATCTCCTGAAGGGAATGGGTTGAGACTTCACACGGTTGTTCTATGTGATTTGTTAAACATGATTGACACAAGTCCATTAACTCTGATTTGCCTTTTTACAGACTTATGCCGCATTTCTTACTGTCAAGCACTGATGATAGTTGAGTGCGCTTTCTTATGGATATGGACAACTCTTGGTCTATCCATGACAGAGGAGATAGCTCATTATTATTTTACTCTGATTTTCATTATAATTGAAATTACAAAGACTGACATTTTTCCTTTTTCAGGACCGCTTGAATAGATGTGCTAAGGACTGCCAAGATAAACTTCGAGACAATCTGCCTAGTACCCCTGCTGAATCACAAATGGTACAATTTAGGAAAGAATTGGAATCCTGTGTCAGCAGTTGTGCAGATGATCATATAAGAAAATTACCAGACCTAGCTAAAAGATTAAAGTCTAATATCAGCAGTATGAAATAGAACTATGTACAAGTTTTCGTGAAATTCTAGGAAAACAGAAAGATTTGGGAGTTTGTATCTGAAAACTACCCGAAATAGATAACAAAAGAAATTTTAAAGTGGTCAATACATGGAATTTTGTTAAAAATGGTTCAATTAGTGTGATGAGTAAAGAACAAACATAAACATAAGTCAGGACTATTTCTAAAGCTCACCTTAGACACTCGTATTGGTCTTGGTGGGTAGGGCTTTTTGTACAGGCTCGATGGTATATATTTGTATCATTGTCCACTGTTATTGATCAATCTTTTCTTAGTCTTGCCAGGTTTTTGTTAAATTAAGTAGGTAGAAACAATGTGGGTAAAACCTGTATTATACAAGTTTGCCTCTGTCAGGGGGCCAAATAACAAAGAATATCTATCTGGCCTTTCTTGAACTTGGGTTTAAAGATCCTGAATTAGTATATATAAATTACTAGAACAAGTGAAAGCTGTTTCTAGATAATTTCACTATAATTTAATGACAAAATTAATGGACATCTTATAGTAAAGGTTTTATAATTGAAATGTAAATTTGACAGTATTTGTTTGATTTAGCTACACATAAATAACAGACTTTGATGCCAAGTCCTAATTGCTCAGGACCTTTCAAGAAGAACTTTGAAAGACCCGTTTCGTAAAGGTTAAAAATATATGTATGTTGAGCATGATGTAAGTTGATAAAATAATTGTACATGTATGTCATTTTTAATAAAGAGAACCAAATAAGAAAATCTGTCTTATGGTAACTTATGTAATCTATAGGTATGCTTAAATTGTAACTCGCAATATATATTTAATAGTCATTTCTATTAAGAAAGCTTTAATCTGTAAATTGACTTAATTCAATGTGTAGTTTTATATGTCTTAAATATTTGAAGTGAAAATTAGCCTTACAGAAGAAGAAATTGACAGTATTTTTGTGTAGAATATAGTCATGTCACTAATAAGGTCCAACCCCATAACATTTTCATTGATCAAGTTCATACATGTATACAGAAGTATGAATTAAAAGGTCTCTTCACCTTTCCAAAAAGAGCATTTAAACCATGTCCAAATTCCAGCAATGTTTTGAAAATCTCTATTCTACCCAGGGTCCTTCAAATAATTTGAAAGACCCTGCTCTACTTCAACAGTGTCAAAACTGAAAACTCATTTGTACTTCTTTTCATAAAAAAATACAGCTTGGCTTTTTTGAAAAAAAAGTAGAGGTTTCGCTATAGGTGCGGCGGCTTTGCCGTTCCCGTCCGCAAAGTTGTACCTGGATCATAATTTTTTTATTTCTTGGTGTATTGTCTTCATACTTGACCACAACAACCCTTGCAGTAGACCACACTAACCTTGACCTTCATCCATAAATGACCTTGACCTTCAAGGTCAAAAGTCCAAAGTTTGCTTGTTCTTGCTATTATTGGCTGTAACTTTGTTTTTATGCCCCCACAGAGTGGGAGCATATAGCGTTGCACTTGTCCGTCCGAGTGTCAGTCCGTCCGTACGTCCCGAAATCTTGTGAACCCAAGTCCTCTTAAACCGGATGGCAGATTTTGCTTAAACTTACAGGGATGAACAACCTTAAGGTGAAGATGGTAGTAAAGGAAGGAATTTTCGCTGCGACCAAATTTAACAGAATTATGGCCCTTTGTTGATTTTTTCACTATATACTATGTAGAAATTTTGTGATCGCAACTCCTCTTAAACCGCATGGCAGATTTTGCTTAAACTTACAGGGATGAACAACCTTAAGGTGAAGATGGTAGTAAAGGAAGGAATTTTCGCTGCGACCAAACTTTACAGAATTATTGCCCTTTGTTGATTTTTTCAATATATACTATATAGAAATTTTGTGAATGCAACTCCTCTTAAACCGGATGGCAGATTTTGCTTAAACTTCCAAGGATGAACAACCTTTATGTGTAGATGGCAGTAAAGGAAGGAATTTTCGCTGCAGCCAAATTTAAAACAGAATTATGGCCCTTTGTTATGCTCCCCGAAAAATTTCGGGGGAGCATATAGTCGGCGCCTTGTCCGTCTGTCCGTCCGTCCGTCTGTCCGTCTGTCCGTCCGTTGTCTTGTCCGAGGCATAAGTGGAAAACCCTTGGAGATAATTTGTTGAAACTTCATACAGTGGTAGAGGGCATCGAGGGGGAGTGCAGTGTCAAAGAACCATAACTCTATTTTGCCCGGTTTTTGAATTATCTCCCCTTATAGAAAAATCTTGTCCGGGGCATAACTCTAAAACTATAAGAGATATCAACATGAAACTTTGTAGGTGAATAGATCTCAATGTGTAGATGTGCAGTGCATAAGAACAATAACTCTTTTCATCCTAATTTTGGAGTTATTGCCCTTTGTTAATTTTAATACTTTGAACTTTGTCCATAACATAACTTGAAAACCCTTGGAGATAATTTGTTGAAACTTCATACAGTGGTAGAGGGCATTGAGGTGGGGTGCAGTGTCAAAGAACCATAACTCTATTTTGCCCGGTTTTTGAATTATCTCCCCTTATAGAAAAATCTTGTCCGGGGCATAACTCTAAAACTATAAGAGATATCAACATGAAACTTTGAAGGTGAATAGATCTCAATGCGAAGATGTGCAGTGCATAAGAACAATAACTCTTTTTGTCCTAATTTTGGAGTTATTGCCCTTTGTTTATTTTAATACTTTGAACTTGAACTTTGTCCGGAACATAACTTGAAAACCCTTGGAGATAATTTGTTGAAACTTCATACAGTGGTAGAGGGCATCAAGGGGGAGTGCAGTGTCAAAGAACCATAACTCTATTTTGCCTGGTTTTTGAATTATCTCCCCCTATAGAAAAATCTTGTCCGGGGCATAACTCTAAAACTATAAGAGATATCAACATGAAACATTGTAGGTAGATAGATCTCATTGAGTAGAGGTGCAGTGCAAAAGAACCATAACTCTGTTAAGCCTTATTTTTGAATAATCTCCCCTTTTAGAAAAATCTTATCCAGGACATAGCTGTAAAACTATAAGAGATATCAACATGAAACTTTGTAGGTAGATAAATCTCAATGGATAGATGTGCAGTGCACAAGAATCATAACTCTACCTTGCCTAATTCTGGAGTTATTGCCCTTTGTTTATTTTTACTTTTTGAATTGTCCAGGACATAACTCGGAAATCATAAGAGATATCATCAAGAAACTTTGTAGGTTGATAGATCACATTGATTAGAAGTGCAGTGCAAAGAACTGTAACTCTGCCTTGCCTAATTTTAGAATTATTGCACTTTGAACTTTTTCCACGGACATAACTCTGAAACTACAAGAGGTGTACTTTCCTGTGTCCAAAACCTATTCGGGGAGCATCACCCGGCTCAAACCGGGCTCTTGTTGATTTTTAGTTTTCAACCTGTGGCACATGTAGTCCAAAAAAAATTCGACCTAGAGTCATAAGATTGTCAGAACAGTGGTGTGTGGGGGCATCCGTGTCCTATGGACACATTTCTAGTTTTTTAATGGATTGTCTTCAAACTTTAACATAATAATCTTCAAGGATATCCCTTAAAAACAACTAGACAGACCTTGACCTTCACTCATAAATGACCTTGACTTGGAAGGTCAAATTATTGAAATTTTCATTGTTTGGCTATTATTGGCTGTAACTTTGTTAGTTTTGAATGGATTGTCTTCAAACTTGAACATAATAATCTTTAAGGATAACCCCTTAAAAATAACCAGACAGACCTTGACCTTCACTCATAAATGACCTTGACTTTGAAGGTCAAATTATTGAAATTTTCATTGTTTTGGTTGTAACTGGCTGTAACTTTGCTATTATTGAAGGGATCAACTTCATATTATAATAGAATATTCTTAAGGACAAGACCTTGTTGTTTATCAAACCCAAATTGACTTGGGCTCTTTAATGACCTTGACCATGAAGGTTAAATTACTGAATTTTCTCAGATTTGTGCATTAAATGACCATATATATTTATTGGTGTGTATGTCAGACCGTATATATATATATTATCATAATCAGCAGCAAGTGTATCTATTTATAGAATGCATTGCGTGTATCTATTTATAGAATGCATTGTGTGTATCTATTTATAGAATGCATTGCGTGTATCTATTTATAGAATGCATTGCGTGTATCTATTTATAGAATGCATTGCGTGTTTCTATTTATATACGGTATACAAATCAGTATTTTTATATATATATAAATGAGTATATTTATATATACAAAATATATAGACAAAACTAATGTGACAAGACAGACCGATTAAATTTATAAAAAGGAAACGTTAAGATTTGTTCAAACATTTCTTTGTTTGCTTTTAGAAAAAGTAAAAAGTCGAGCGTTGCCCCCGCCCGGCGGTGGCTCTTGTTTTTTTCAACCAAGGTCAAGGTCATATATCAGTCGATGTCGAATTAAATTTGATATTCTTTAAGACATTGTACCAAGGTAGTTGTGTTCAAGCGTGTAGCTTAATTTCTGTAATAAAAGTTTCCAGTTCAAATATGAAGACAATTCATTCATACTTGTAGCAAAGTTATTGCCAATTATAGCAAAAAGGGGCAAATTCAATAATCTGACCTTCAAGGCCGAGGTCATTGATGAGTGTAGGTCATAATCAATTTAGTCCACACTTAAAAGTATTTTCCTACGGGTTGCGTTAAAGTATGAAGACAAATCATTTATAAAATAACTTAGTTATATAGCAAAATTAGACCAAATAACTTCAAGGTCATGGTCATTTATGACCCAAGGTCAAGTTTAGTCTAGTCTACTAATATAGGTTTTGTCTGTGTAATTCCACTAAGAAATAGAAAATAATGACCACTACGGGAACGAACAAAACGATTAGCAATAGATCGATTTCTTTTTCATGATATAAATTAAAGGGTTTCCCTTAAATGCCTTCAATTCATATCTTAAAATTCATATTGGTTGTCTACGCCAGGCAAGGAAACTTTTCTACTGTCGTCCAAACGCGAATTTAAGAGATTGATATGAGTACCTGATTGTGGTTTGACCTGTTTCTGACCACAGTGTAATCTTCTAACCACTAGAAGATCCATGTATATAATTTATTGTCGTTAGTTATAACCCGCGACTCCCTAAAAAAGGCGGGAAAACGTATGTACATAAGTACTATAATATTTTGACCGACAGAGCCTCGTTACCCTAGAGCTAGCATCGCAACCAGTGTTAGATTCTAAAGTGGCCAATCAGATAATAGTGTTGATAAACCCGCCTCTGTGTACTGATAAGCCCGCCTCTGCATGTATGTTTATATTTCAGTTATTGTTGAGTCTGTGATTGTGAGCGTATCTTTCAAAGACGAATGTAATAGAACCTTTCATTTATATTATAATATCCCGTTTTGGGTCTGTTATATATATACGCCTACAACAGTGACAACATTACAATTAATACCGGTAAATTTCGCAAATATATTCCTTTCAACAGAGATACATACACATGCACTCTAGCTAGCTCTAGTTGAGGAAAGATCTTGTCAACGAACTTCCTAGTGTGACAGTTTTGTTTGTTTGGACTCCTGTCACGATAGGAAATGAATTGCTGACTACATGCAAAAGAAGAGAAATGTGGCAGAAGAAGACTTCTGACAAATCAGAGTTACATTCCGCAGTACAGGCTCATTAAGCCCACCAAAAATGCTACAATGTATGATTTTAAGTTTTCAAAAGCATGTTACATGTAGTTTAAAAAAATGCTCTGGTGCAGGTACTTATATTTGCCATGTCTGGGATTTTTAGTGAAAATGATTCCTGCAGAAGAAATTGATGCGGTGCCCGAGGTGCCGTAACACGCCATCCTTACACAGACCTGATTGAACACACATAAACAACCTCTTTCAAAATTGCCATCTGTATTCTAATAAGAGAGCTTGTTGGCATTAAAATACGTTACGGATCTTCCTCTTTAATTCCTTTATTCTCCCTGAGATTGATTGATTTAAGATCAACACAGTTACGATACTCATTGACTGTGAATTAACTGTTAGAATTGGCGAGGACCCTACTGGAAATAAGTGCTTGCACTTCCGCCCGATCGAAAGAAAATCATCATCATCATTATACGTTGATCTTGCCTTGGAGAATGAACTCAACAAAGAAAATAAAAAGCCAATATGAAAATTTATCTAAATAGTGAACTCCTTGTTATGATAACATAAAACAAATTGACATTGCGCACAGATTTATAAAATAAGCAGTAAAAGAAGCTGAGGGGACTGCAGCTAACTTTAACAAGAGCCCAGCTAGAGGATCAGCTGGGTAATGGCAAATCTCTCTGATGTTTGTTTGAGTAACTCATGTAGGTAGTGGATTCTTAGTCAAGCCAAAAAAAAAACTTTAATGGCTTGAGCAACAGTTTCTAAAGCTACAAAATGACAGTGAATTTGAGCAAGATTAGAAATGTGTACATGTTTCTATAATTGTCTTGGATAGAGTACTTAATAGAATTTAAGTAAAATATATCATCTACATGCTTAGCAATCAATTCTGATTATGACTAGCAGTATAGAAGTAAATGTACCCTAGCTATATGAAGGCAAGCAGACCAAGAAAAAAAGAAATATTTTTCAAAACATAAATAATAAATTAATATAGTTTTATTATAAGAGAAATTATCTATCTTTTCGGGTTTTCGGTATCTTTGGTAATTATACATGTATACATCATATATAATTGAGAGTTTTGACAGTGATCCTTTGCAAAATGTTGATCAAATGGTAACTAATCTTAATGACATTTTGTATACTGCCTGTAACAAATCAATGAAGAAAAAGTTAAAAGTTAAGAAAACTAGACCGGTCCAGTCAAAAAAGAAATGGTTTGATAGTGACCTCAGTATGATGCGTAAAGAATTACTACGCAGAAGTTCACTGTATTCTAGAAACCCGTATGACAATATTTTAAAAGGATCATTCTATAAGTATAGAAAAAATTATAAACGTTGTTGTAAGCAAAAGATGAATACTTTTAAAAAGGGTATTATTTCTAGCTTAGATAGTATGTTAGATAATAATCCATCTGAATATTGGGAATTAGTTAAAGATCTTAAGGAGGAAGGCCTAGCAAATGATCCTGCTAATAAGATATCGGCAGACGGATGGATAAAACATTTTACAAATCTTTTTTGTGTAAAGAAGGAGTTTGAACATATTGACAAGAAATATGCTGATTTACTACAAATTGTTGAAAAAATGAAAACCTTCAATGAGCTAGACTTTGCAATTTCTGAAAAAGAAATATCCAAAGCCATTTCTTCATTGAAAAACAAAAAATCTGCTGGTCTTGACTCCATTACTAATGAAATGATTAAAGCTAGCCAAAGTTTTCTTTTGTCAAGTTTTAAAAAATTGTTTAATTGTATACTTTCAAGCGGTGTTTATCCATCTTCATGGAAAGTTGGTTATATTAAAGCAATTCATAAAGGTGGTGATACTAATGACCCCAACTGCTATAGGGGTATATCTGTTATGCCATGTCTATCAAAGGTATTTAATTGTATAATGAATAATAGATTACAAAAATTTATAGATAATGGAATTATTAATAAAGCACAGATTGGGTTTCAACCCAATTCCAGAACATCTGATCACATGTTTGTAGTGAAAACATTAATAGATAAATTTTTCAGCAAGGGAGCTAAATTATATACATGCTTTGTTGATTTTGCAAAGGCATTTTTGATAATGTTATTCACTCCCTTCTTTTGTATAAACTATGTAATACTGGTATATCTGGACCTTTTTTCAACGTTGTTAAAAACATGTATTGCTCAAATGTGATGCACATAAAAGTTGGTAATAAGTTAACAGAAACATTCTCTCCCCAGATGGGGGTGCGTCAAGGGGACAATCTTAGCCCAAATCTTTTTAAGATGTTTATTAATGACTTGCCAGCTGTATTTGATAGTAGTGATGACCAAGTGTGTCTAAATGATGTTAAAATTAGTTGTTTGTTGTATGCAGATGATTTGTTATTGTTGTCAACTTCACCAAAAGGTTTACAGAATTGTTTGAATAAGTTATCAACATTTTGTGACAATAATGGTCTTATAGTAAATCTTAAAAAGACAAGTATTTTGACCTTTTGTAAAAGTGGAAGGCTTTCTAGTGAGAAATTCTACTTTAAGGGAACTGAAGTTAATCATGTTAAAAGTTATAAATATCTCGGAATTATTTTTGCATCATCTGGTACTTTCAGTTACTGCCAAGATGATCTTTATAAAAGAGCACTGAAAGCAAGTTTTAAGATTAGTAAGGTTTTTGGTCAGCTACACCAAAATGTTGACACTATCATCCATCTTTTTGATCATACTATTAAACCCATTCTTCTGTATGGTAGTGAGATTTGGGGTATACCAAATATTAATAGTTCTATTGTTAAAAAAACAGACTATGTGTTGTTGAAATCCTTTGGAAATATGTCCTGTGATAAGATGCATGTGAAATTTTTAAAATATATTCTGGGTGTACACAAAAAAACATCAAATGAGGCAGTATGCGGTGAACTAGAACGGTATCCACTATTTATTGATGTAATATGTAGTTATGTTAAGTTTTATCAAAGACTGCTACATGTAAGTGGAATGTTAGCAAATTACTATCTGCTGCCTTTATTGAAAGTCAAACATTATTTACGGATAATAAAGTTTGCTGGGTTTCTTGTGTACAACATTGTTTTAAGCATTTAGGTATATCTGATGCTGGCTTAACCAATAAGAACTTAGTAAATGTTGTTAAACTCGAGTTAGTGAAAATGTACCAAAACAACTGGTGTTTGAATATCACAGGTACTGAAGGGAAACTTAGAACATACTCTTTGTTTAAACAAAGGTTTTGTAGAGAAGTGTACTTTAGACATATTAAGGACAAAGATATAAGAACTTTCTTCACCAAGTTTAGAGTAAGTGCACACAGATTGAATATAGAAACAGGCAGATATAAAAAGATCCCAGTAAATCAAAGATATTGTAACTGTTGCTCTTCCAATCTTGTAGAAGATGAAATTCATTTTTCCATGTGTTGTACAAAATTTGATAGTTATAGAGAACTACTATGTAGACAAATTGAAATATCAAATAAGAACTTTTGTATGTTGAATAATAAGCAGAAATTTGTTTGGTTAATGTCCTCGGAAGACCCTAGAGTCTTGAATGTCTTTTCTAAATACCTACTGGAAATTTATAATAAAAGAAATCTTATGTTAGGTAGTACTATTAGTAATAAAAATTTGTCAGACCATTGAATGTATAGTATTGTACTTGAATATCGAATGAGTAATTAGTGTTTTTTTGTTGATTGTTTTTGATTTTTTAATACTGTTTTATTTATTTACTTCTTATTTTAACATTACTATGCCTGTGTTATTTGTTTTTCCAATAATACGAATTAAGCTTTAGTTACTTTATTGTCTTCGATCATTTCTACCATACAATACACAATTTGTTGGTTGATATATTTCGTTTCATGCCTTATGTTTTATGCTTGTGATTATATATGTCATATAGTATGACCCTTGATTGGTGAAATAAAATTATTCTATTCTATTCTATTCTATTCTATTCTATATAATTCAGCACTTTTACACCAGAACGGTTTGCAGGACAACAGAGCTGTTGCTACCAAACTCCTCACAGTTATTTGATCGGCTTAGGGATTTTGATCGGCTGAGAGAGTGCAGACGATCCTTACAAAAATATCTAGAGTTGCCAAACATTAATTTGATTAAAATTCAAAATTTATAATTTTTCAAAACACCTAAGAGATTTTTTCTTTATCATTTCTATCTATGTTGATCTAACTGTTTTTCCCCTTCATATAATATACGCAAGCGCAAATTTTATGTACATACATTTGTACATGTGATATGCACGTATCATATACCAGACTTTAGCCGAGAATACCGGTGAACGGTCCGTGTTAAGACGGCCATTATCAACGATTTGACCGACAAACTTTACTTTTCTTAATAATTATATTTACACACACTTATAAGCATGGCTGACATAAAAGGAGACTTTGCCAATGAGTATTTGGGCAGAGTACTGGTATCTTCATAAAAATTACCTTACTTAGTTTCTATGTCATTCGACACTATATTATTTTTGGTAAACTTTGACGTTTTCGGATATGTCGAACTTCGGATACCTAGTTAGAGGAATGTTTTCGGATATGTCGAACTCGGATACCTAGTTAGAGGACATTTCAGGCTCCACTACTCATGTGTCTTCATTGCTTATAGATTTTTGTTATGGCATTGTGTTTCCTTTCTTATAATTATATATATATATATATAATATTACCCAAATAAAATAATTTGATTTTAGTAAAATAACAAACTATGACAATATTCATACCCAAATAACATAATTTGATTAATATTATATTATTTGTTAATTTGAAGAAATATTGCTTATACTGTACTATTTTCAGCCATATTTCTAATTTTACAAATTACAAAATTTAGCTTACATTTACATTGTTTTACAGGGTGAGATGCATAGATGTTGTGCCAAATGCTGTGATAACAAAACTGCAGAAACAACAGATGTAAAGAAATGTGTACTTAAATGTCAGGCAAATGCTGAAAAGACTCGGGAAGTTTTACTAGAAGTTATAAAGGTATAAAGCTGCATATTCATCTTTTATCAGACTGAAATTTTTATTTAAAGTCATGTGTAGGCATGATACAGGCATTGAATTTTGAAACTGATGCTATTGTAGTTTGTGGTATGCAAATTTTAAAAAATATTCTTCTTGTGAAAACATAAATGTTGTGGGGGACTGTGTCTGCAGCGCATACAAATTAATTTTCCGATGAAATCTGACAGTGTCTTAAAAGTAAAGTTTCCTGATCTTATATCTTTTAATTTAAGCTTATATCTATTTATTTAAGCTCTTCATTTATTACATGAAGTTTCTGGGGTTTTATCATAATACATTATAATAGTAATTGAAATTTTCTATCATTCAATGTTTATTTTATCTCACCTTAGAACAAAGTTCTCAGAGAAGAGGTTTTTTTTATGGCATGTTGTCAAACGCTGGATTTTGGAGTTACTGCCTTTTGTATTTTTTATATGCAGTTGAATTTCTGTATGTACTTATTATTTTGGACACAATTACAAGTCAGAACTTGTAGGAGAACTTGTAAAAGTGTGCTAAAATTATTCTAAACCAACAGTACTACAATAAGTACAAATATACCATCCCAGGGTTATTACGACCCTCTTGATTTATAAGCAGTAGTTCCAGGGTGGGTGATCACACAACATTTCTTTACGGTAACATTGGGTCACAGCTAATGGCTGTACTCATGACTCAATTATTTTTACATTAATGTATGTTCAATATTTGGACAATAAATGTAATACCATGTTCCAGGCAAATATTTTCCAATGCAAATGGTACATAATTTTTTTTTTCAATGAAGCTCTTGCAGAAATTGTAACCATAAATCTTCATCAACATATTGCCAAATTAAGTGACATAGAAAAATTTCTAGAAGCAAAATTGGATAAGTAAAGTAAAAAGAGCTAAAATCAATAGTTTTGTCCAAATTTGGCAAATTTTTGCTAGGAACGTGGATTATGATTCAAAGAAATAACGAAAAATTAGCGTAACTTTGAAGTCCCTTGAAGTCGCAAAGCTGTTTAAACGATACTTTTTTATTTCAAGAATCCCTATATGAAATGTTATGCTCGCTGCGGGGAGAAACACAATATGATGGCAAATCAGTCAGAAGAGGAAAAAACACGTGCGGCAGACTGTGTTTTAAAATGTAAAGAAGATCATAGTGAAATGGTACCAAAAGCTACTGAGCAGTTACAGGCATTAAGAACTCTAACAAGAAATAAAAGAAATTGAAGTGGGTAATTGGAGATAATGATGTCAAGGTATAAACGAGGCAAGGTTTATCAATGTCGAAAGTATTTTTATTTATAGAATGTTTTGGACATGACTTTTACAAATAAAAAAAATTCTATAAAGTTCACGTAATATTTTGTTTTTTCTTTTTGTATAAAAAATTGACTGTAACATCCAGATCAATATTACAGTATCTTATGAAATGCAATGTGTAAGATAATTCCCTACTTTTAAAATATATCCCTTGCTAAAAGTGGAAGGTCAATATTCTATATTATTGTCTAGGCATTTAAAATCAAATGGTCATGAGCATAATTATCCATAAAAGCTGAAAAAAAAGAAGGAACCCTCATAAAATGTCATTTAAGAGGTAGTTTTACTGGTTTATGAACTAAGAATGTTGAGCAAAATCTTGTAAACCCTAAAATGTTTGTATGTTCGTCTGTCTGTAGACAATTGGTTTCCATATGATAACTTTTGAATTGTGTTTATATTTGACACAACTTGTAAGAAAATACAGATTTTAATATTTGCTGCAATCAACAAATTATTTATAGAGTGATGTCCCTTTATATACAAATTTTCTGTTAATCATTGGTTTCTGCAGAAAAGCTTTTGAAAGATATCAATGATTGTGCTAATATTTTGCAGGCAAGTATGTTATATGAAGTTTGATTTGGTCTGCCGTCAAGTCATTATTGATAGAGTTATGTCCCTTATTATGCAAATTTCCAGTAAGAAGGCGTGTCTTATTTTACTGTAGTGGAATGACTTACAAAACACTGTAGAGGTTTACTAGGAAATGCAGCATACCAAATTTTCTTAGGTCCTGCCTTTGTAGTGTCACACAAAACTTAAATGCTTTTTCCTTTATAAACAAACTGACCTGTTAGGTGTAGCAAATTTTGATCATAGCAGCATAATTTGTACAAAGAGTTATTCTACTGTAAAGCATCGCAAGGTGATGCTCTTTGCAAACTATATATACATTTGTATCCTTGTTATAAATGTAGGGAAGACATTTAAGATCCTATACAAGTGTTTATAAACTAAGTTACCCCAAGGTCAGGGCTATTTTGACCACCAAACTTTGGACATTATTCATTCGTAGTTTCACACAGACAAGAAGATTTAAAAGGGTTTTTCCTATATATGTCTATATTAACTAAAAGAACTCTTGGGGGGGCGGCAGTCAAAAAAAGCTCACCTCCGTAGGCTCAGATGAACTTACTAGCCTTTCGTAGTTGAAAACTATTTCAGTTGAGATCACTCTGCGGAAGTGATACATTTGTCAGGACTGGAGTAACAGAACAGAGAGATGGACGCAGACACTTGGTTGAGCAGATTAGCTATCCCTCTGTAAAAAGCTTCTGTATTATTATTATTCTGTAACTAATGAAGCCTAATCACTGTCTTATAAAGATAAAAGTTAAATGTCAATACAGCTTACACAGCGCTACAATCTGGGAATATTAATAGATCAAAAGAAGCAAAAGCTTGTAATTCATTTGCCTTATTGGTTTACAGTTTTTTAAGGACAGCTTAGAACTAAATACATAGTTATCTATACATTTGTATTAAGATAATAACTTTGCAATACCATTTTTAAGGAGTCACAAAATCGGCATGGGTATGTGATAATAACAAATAAACAATTCAGTCAATTGTAAATTAATGGATTTTATTTATAAATTACTAAGCATTTATAAAGAAAGATACATTTCAACAAAGATAATATGCACTTGACATTCACAAATATGTCTTGAAAATGGTCAAACTCAGAAAAAAACAAAGTCAGACAAAAAATAAATAAGAAAAACAGAAAATTTGTGTCTCTTCAAGAATACATATTTCACCTCAGTGCAGAAATGGGTTAACTTCAATTTAAGTTAAATAGGAGTTAACCTGTTACTACACTACGGTGATAACTTAATTTTCCAGAAACAGCTAATTTCATCATTTGCCAAAGAATCTATCATAAGTGTTAATAAATATATAAAGTAAAATCCCCAAGCACATTTTGGGAGGGAAAGGGAAATGTTACAAAGAAAACAATATAAAATCTTTTTCTGATGAAAACTTTGCCCCAGGTTTCCCTTTTTAAAACTCCACTTTTTTCCCCTTTTGATGCCCGCGAGATTTAAATTAGTTTGAATCTGTATGTTCCCTTCCCCTTTTCCCCTGTAGCCAGGAGCTGGGTCCTGAAAAAGGAAGAAAAATGATACTCAAATATGAAATTAGGTTTTTATGCAGTTAAACAAGAGGACCATGATGGTCCTAGATTGCTTGCCTTAGATCCATTGCTAGAAAAGGTGTATAAGAATCTTACACTGGCTGCCGGTACAGACCGGAATATCTAGCTGGAGGGTAACTGCTTACGGCGATAATGAAGCGCTGCCGAGTTTCAGCTATACAGTTACTTGAGCACTAGATATTCTGTTCTGTATGGACATCTGAAGTTTGATTCATTTTCATGCATATTACATGTCAATTATTTTCGAAACAGAAATTAAAAAGACAAGACCCCAGTATTATGCAAAGAATGGAATATTTTGAATCACGTTGATAGAGCTTCTTGCCAGGAACATTGATAGCAACAATTGGAACACCTCACTGATTACCTACAATCATCTCGGAACCAACCAGGATTGAAATTATTTTTATTATGACACTACTGATGTAAATAAACACAGTCAAAGGGTTTTTTTATCTTTCAAAATAAGTAACGAGATAATTAATAACAAGAAGAGGAAAATAAGATGTATATAATTAAGATTATAATAGATCTCCTACAACCAAATTCAAATTTAGAAAACCATTTTACATATAATTTTGTACAATTTTGAAATACCTTGAGCAGTTACGTTATTTTTATGAATATTTAAGTAAATACCAAAAACGTGTATGTTTCATATTATGTCTGAATTAAAGTGACATTATGTTCATTTTTTCCATTGTCAAATTGAGGTGAATTGATTATATATGCCAAAAGATTAGTAATTAAGCAATGGATATTATTCCAAATTGTTTCGGGAAAAATAATAATCTCTATAAAATATGAAGACTGCCCGCTCTTCTTATTAATTGAAAGTAACTTAAACTCTGATGGATATTTACAGAATTTTTCTTGGATCATTTTTAAAGCTTCGTGTGAACCAAATAATAAATTGAAAGCAATTTAAATGTAAAAATAAAATACTTATTTCTTAATTTAAACCCTGTTCCCATAACTACCCCAAACCCCTGGTGGCGTAATCCACTTTTAAAACATGGGGTATAAATAACATAATTTAATTATTCCATAATGTAACTTCCCCCTGTTGAGGGATTTGAAACTCCCCCATGTGTAGAAGGTCCCTTTATTTTGACTTTTTGCTGCATTTTAAATTAACTGGGGACAGTTTTACCAGTCGTTTTCAAATCGTAAATCAACAGGTTACCAGCCTGAGTTGTAGCTGCCATTACAGTTGCTTTGACTGGTGACCATGTCACACAATGGACATAACCTTCCCCAGGCTCAATTGTCAACACGGGCTGAGCCTGAAAAAAAAATAATTCATACATTTTTCAAACTAACTACTTAGTTAATGGTCAAGCCTCAACATTAACATCTTATTTTCTTCATTTTTGTTGCAATGGAAAGTTTATGACAATATCAGCATGGTTTAAACTATAAATATTAAAACTCTCAGAAAACACAAGATAAAGATTGCACAAATTAATTCTACAACTATTTCTATTACTGAATGTACAATTATGGAACAAATAAAATTTTAGTATAATTGATAAATTTTACCAAAATATTTTATAAAATATAACTTTATACCCATTAAAATCATACATAAAAACATCAACGCCTGTTACTATCAGTAATACTTTAACCAACATATGATTATATGATATAATCTTAACATAAACATGCAACATTGCATATTTGTAAAAATGATGGATACACTATTTGTAATGGTACAAAAAAGACCCAGCACTTGAAATGGTCATTTGATATTTTGTTAATATAAATCTTCATTCTGAATTAATGGTAACCAATATATGGATATAGATACTGTTTTATAATTTTTCTAAGGTATGTCATAATAATCTACAAATGAAACCCTAAATCTGAACCTTATATGTATCCAGCAAAAACATACATGTAAAATTAACTTCAGCACTTTAGATACCTGTAAACTGTAATCCAGTACTGATCCAATAGATTTGTAAAATGTACTCCAGCCCTTTTAACCTACATGTAAAAACATGTACCTGCCCTAACAAAACTAGTAAAATGTACTCCAGCACTAACATACCTGTAAAATGCTGTACAGACGTATACACTTGATCCATGCCAGCACTAACAAAAGGCATTTTTCTGTGAAAAGGGAGAGCATCTACAGCAAGCAATACTTGGACCATGATGAGGGTTGTAAGTGAAGGTCACTGAGACCTTGAGGAGGTTAATAGATGATACCACAATCCCTAACAATGATTGGAATTATAAAAGTTTGTTTAACTATTGTGTCCACAATGCAGTGTAACTGCTTTTGACAAATATGGTGAAATCATTTGAATGGTTGTTTGGGTCTGTTTTGAAAAAATCTTAAAGCAGCACGCCTCCAGATTCACGCTAATTTTCAAGAAAATTTTGAAAATTTTTTTGAATGTATAATGATTGTGAAACTAACAAAAGGAAGCAATTTGGGCACATTATCAATGGTAACTTACAAAACCATGTAAATTATGCAAGAAGTTGTCAAAATATGCATAAATTGTCCTTAATGCGTTAGCAATGCAGTAGAAATATAGTTGTAAATATTGAAAACTCAGTCTTTGACCGCACATAACATGTAAAATATTACTTGAATCTTGAATCATTTAACATATTTCTCAAGAAAGTTTTATTAAAATATTTTGACTCGTCTGGAGGCATGCAGCTTTAAGTCACATCCATATGGTAAAGATCATACAACCACTTTCCAGCTTTACTGGTGGAGGAAGACATCTGGTGCACCTTTTTGTATTATTTCAGACACAAGCAGGCACCTGGGTAGAACCACTGACCTTCGGAAGCTAGATGGATAGTTTTATCACATTCAAGAACCCAAAGTCTCGAAACTGATCACGTTTTGTTGGGGGTTTTTTTGCTATCAAAAATATCTCTGATGCATCCATCTGAATGAAGCTTACAAGATATTTCTATGGCTATGTGATTAACATTACTTTACTCATTCAATTTAAATAACACCTTAAAATATCTAAAATATGAACTCTTGAAATGCTTTTTTATCATACTCCGTCAAATCGCCAAAGAGAATAGGTACACAATCATAATGTTATAAATCATAACACACAGTGAAAAACTTTTCTGTTCTCTCTGTTTGTCAACAAAGATGGATTTCATTGCCAAAATATTGATATGATCCTGATTAATCATGGTGTGTGAGTGTTTTGTATGCACAAATTATAGCTCAGTTGATATACATCTTGGTTAATTTTTCACGACCAGGTACCTTAAGTGAAAATAGATAATAGTACTTATACAAATGGGTGTAAAATTATTTCAAGGCGAGACGTTATAAGGCAGGAACATAAATCTCCGGAACTCAACTTACTTCCAGCAGGATTACTAGTATTCTAACAAATGGGCGTAGCATTAATACCAAACCAAGGGACACTACATGGAATGTCCAAACTGCACTTACTTCCAGCAGGGAGGGCCGTTGGAGAGTTCATCTAACACTTGAAGATGACACCAGCCTCTGATCCCACTAGGAACATGTCTTATCTTCACTGTTGGTATAATTACACGTTACGACCAAACCTCCCTTTATCTCCCCTTACACCTTTCACCTTCATAGACGGGTAAACTCTGAGCCATCACCATAAAACTGCAAACAAAAATGGACAGAAACTTATGACAGTCACAAAACTTATGATTGGTCACAGAAACTTATGACAGTCACAAGAAGCTTACCAAGTGTTTGGTTGGGTTTTATGTAACCAACACAGTATAGGTAATATGGCAACTTTACAGCTTTACTGGTGGAGAAGTAGAAACCACTTATGTTCGTTTAAGCTAACTGGATGCTTCCTCAATACAGCCGTGAGGGACAAAGGGTTTGAATTCAACGGTTGAATAGACTACTCGACCTTGGACCACAAACTACTCAGCCATGGACACCCTTTTACCAAGGAAGTACTATGTTGTGAAAACATAGCAGAGATTACAAAGTTTCTTAAACTGCTGGAACCGGAAATGATTTAGCTTTATGCCATTGATACAGAGTAGAGTCAGGCCAGCCTTTGCAACCATGCACTTTGACACAGCTCAAAACTGTTGGTAGCTCAATTTTTGTGTTATGATATTGAAATCTCTTAAACTTTGAATGGACTGTTCAAAAATTCATCTCAAGGTAAATTTATAACTAAAATTCAATGTGATAAAGGTAAAGTTGTTAATTAAAGCACATTCTGACATTGTTCATCATAATGATAATCCTAAGAAAATGTTAATACTACTGATAAGCAATGTGTGTTGTTTCATATAGGCAATAATACAGATGCTACTTCCTGCATTGTTTCCAACATGGGCAGCCACCCGGGTAAAACCACTTATAGTTATGTTTGTTTGGTTGGTTTTAATGCCAATCTCAATGGCCTTCTTCTCATAGGTCGGACCAACTAACCGGCATTCCTAGATAACTAACCAGTAATTTGGTATTTCTTCACAAAAGACCAACTACTAATCACCATTATTTCTAGACCAGTGGTGATAGACAAATGACCATTAGACTTGATGTCCGAGTTCAATTGTCAGTTGAAGAAAAATTGTATTGCCTCAGAATTGAACCAGGGGCGCCTGCATTACTAATCTGATGCTCTCGCTATGTATCTAAACGGGCAATCCCCAACCACTTGGTAACTAGGTGTAAAGTTTCAACATTAAACAATTCCATTAAAATCTTCAATACAAACCCATCTTTAGGCTGTAACTTTTGAGCTTTTCTGTCTATTTTCCACTGTATAATTTTTCCATCTGCACTGGCACTGACCAGCTGAAAATATAGAGGAAAAGAGCTTACTATAGTCTTAACAAAATATTGTCCTCAAGCTTAAAGATCCTGTATGTTGTGATCAAAGTGGTAAACCACACTAAGTGAAATTATATATATGTACATAATATTGCAAATAAAACAATTTTGAAACATCAAAGATGTAAAATATGTACTGTAAATATTTGTGCATATTATATGTAATCATTAAAATATATGCATTCATTATCTTAATTGTACATTTGACTAAAAACTTGTATAGAAAATAATTTTTTCATTACCTCCCATTTATCTTACATGGAAAGTGTTAAATGTCGGATTATATATTCATAAACAATTTTGGAACCTACAATATTGATAAATCTTAATTTGAAGCATCATATATTATGACTTTAATAAACCATAAAAAAAATTGTTGTTACAGGATCTTTTAAGAGTATCACAACAACAATCTACATGAAATTGAGACTTTCTGTATAATTTGATACTTTAGTGCAGTAACCGTTACTGGTTAACTCCTTATATAATTTAATAAGAGTTAACCTGTTACTGCACTAAGGTGACAATATATTTACAGTCTGGAACTCTGAATACCAAATTTTTTACAAACTGGCAAGTAGTTGAGGTGTTTCTAACATGTATAACAATAGCTAGAAAAGGTTTAATGGAAAATTAAAATTTTTATTCTATGATCTGATTGAACTCATTTACTATTTATTCTGTACAAGTAACCTTTGCCATTAATAATTAAATATTACAATAGTTGACACTTATTGACGACCCACTTCATTTTTCTGTCAACAGTGGCATATAAAACAGAGGTCGTATTTCATAAAGTTTTATCAACGTAAATGTTTCCTTACCAAGTTTTCACAAACTTTTAAGTTATATCTTCTCAGTTTTTGATCGGATTAAACTTAACTATGTTGCTGTGACTTGACCTGTTGATCATATAACCTCAAAATCAACAGGGTTGAAATTCATCTACTGCCCATAATCAATGTCCCTATCTACTGCCAATAACCAATGTCCCCTTTCTACTGCCCATAACTAATGTCCCTATCTACTGCCCATAACCAATGTCCTATCTACTGCCCATAACCAATGTCCTTATCTAACTGTCCCATAACCAATGTCCCTATCTACTGCCCATAACCAATTTCCCTTTCTACTGCCCACAACTAATGACCCTATCTACTGCCCAAAACCAATGTCCCTATCTACTGCCCATAACCAATGACCCTATCTACTGCCCATTAAACCAATGTCCCTTTCTACTGCCCATAACCAATGTCCCTATCTACTGCCCATAACCAATGTCCCTTTCTACTGCCCATAACCAATGTCCCTATCTACTGCCCATAACCAATGTCCCTATCTACTGCCCATAACCAATGTCCCTATCTACTGCCCATAACCAATGTCCCTATCTACTGCCCATAACCAATGTCCCTATTTACTGCCCATAACCAATGTCCCTATCAATTTCAACAAAATTAGGCTCATTTCTCATTAAGTTATTAATCCGACAAGAATTTTACACAAAGTGGCACTGTGACCTTGACTAATGACTTCAAAATTGATCATTTACTGACCATTAACAAGGTCCCTGCTTATTTACATAAACCAAGCTTATTCCTTCTCATGTTATTGTTGATCAGACAATGATAGCAGTATGTACGGACATACAAACAGACATACAGATCACCCCAGCACAGTATGCTCCCCTCTTTTTTTGTTTGTTTGTCTCTTTTTTTAAGTTGGATAATAAAATATTGTAAATAACATACATATATTTTCTTTCCCTTGTTGTCAGTGATCCAGTATACTTTAGATACAGGTTCCTGGTGGGCATCCTCTCCGAGCCCTGATGTGGCAATCAACATGTCATCTTCCCTACTAAGATCCCATAGCAACACCTCACCTATAAGTAAACATAAGCCTTTGACTTTGAAAGTATATATATATATATCATTCAAGGCTGGGGAAGTAGCCCTGTCCTTAATTATTGGGGAAAAATTATATGCTATATTTCCAAAGGAGAAGAAAAAACTTTTTTCAAATTCAATTTTTTGATAAAACTGTATGATTTCAAAGAATTTTTCTCTAGGGAAGCCAACCTATAACGGCACCTGCTATAGAAAGGAAAAAAGCCCTGTCATTTTGCTCTAACCTTAACCTTTGGCATGTAAAAGTTAAATACTTTAAATGAGCTGCGTCACGACAAAACCAACGTAATGCGTTTGCGACCAGCATTGATCCAGACCAGCCTCGCATCCACGCAGTCTGATCAGGATCCATGCTGTTCGCTATCAGTTTCTCTACTTGTAATAGGGTTGGTAAGCGAACAGTATGGATCCTGATCAGACTGCGCGGATGCTGGTCGCAAACGCACTATGTTGGTATTGTCATGATGCGGCTCAAATGGATTTGTCCATATTTACAATCTGGTCAAGATCATTCATCATTCCAGGGAAAATTTCAAATTAAGTACTGACTGAAAAGCAAACAGGGCATACAATGCGTAGATGTGTCAGCATATCTTGGTCTGCACTAATTGTATGGGTAGAATTTGTTGCCGGGTTGTTCAAAACATTGGTTAGTGATAACCAATGGATGAAATCATTATCCACTGGCTAGACTTTGTCTGTTGGATAAATTCTGTTGTTCAAAAATTATCTAACAGATAAAATGTGCAATCCAGTGGTTAACTTTAACCAGTCCTATGACCACCGGGACTGTCGGCCATTTTGTTTCTAGAATCACTAACCGGCCCTGTTGCATTGTGGTACTTTAACAGTGGATAAATATGTAATCCACTGGTTAGGTAGCCAGGGTCTATCCAACTGTCAACAATGAAATTTCATCCACTGGATAGATGGCCACTGGTTAGGTATCTAACCAGTGGATAGGCTATCAATTGGTTAATTTTAACCAATGTTTTGAAAACCCCGGTCCAGCAGGCTAAATTCTTTCAAATGTCACATTTTATTTAAATCAATAGTCTTTCTAACATTCAGATGGTCTCTGATAACCAATAATTACAGTTTTCATCTCGGACACAACAAAATCCACAGCACATTGGTCACTATCCCAAGTCAACCTTATACAATAACCTATCAATGTTTTAATAGGAATCATTTTCACACCTATCCATGAAACAAGAGGTTTGTGATGACCCTACATCACCAACCTAAATTCCATTGCTAAAATTGTTAATAAAATGTTTGATGAGAAATTATGTCTTTGGGTCAGACTGACTGAGGGCCATTTTGACCCTTCAGCCATCTTTTATATACACTTCAATTAAATAACATTGTTAATAGAATATATTTACCGTTAAAATTTCCACCAGCAATAATGGCTGGATTTTTTGGATGGAATGCGAGGCACATAAGGCAACTGTCTAGCTCTATAGTGGTGTCGGGTTTATCTTCCTTTATGCTGCTACGGTCCAGATTCCACGTACACATCGCTGTACGGTGCGTACACCAATCTTCATGCTCCAGCTGACCAAATCTACACATCAGTCAAGGTTCCATAGTTATTTATAGAATAAAAGCTACTATCACACACATGGTGGTTTGAACTTGTTGCTTGTTTTCGTGCTGATTATTTCACAACTTTTTTTTTGTCATAGCTCCAAGGTTAGAGCACCTTACTGACTTTCCTAGATAACAAACTGGTAATTACCAATTTGTCTGCATCAGTAACTGACAAACTACTAACCCCACATGATTTCTTAATCAGCAGTGAGAGACAAATGACCATTAGACTAAATGCCCAAGATAAAATGTCACAGAGAAATTTTGCCTCGCCAGAGAACTAAGCCAGTTACAGACATCTGGATTACAAATCCAATGTTCTTTCAATAGAGCTAATTGGATTTCATTCTACTTTTTCAACATTAATGTTACGAATAGAACTACTCCACAAGTTTTAAAATATTTACAAAAAAACAAGAGGATTACTTTTCCTACTGTCAGAATTACATTTTGGCACTTGTATCCTACCATAAACTTAAACTGTGCCACAGTTTATCTTAAGCTCTAATCTGACATCAACAAACTGAAGGTCATACAGTACAGTAGAATTCTCGACAAAAAAATGGACCTTATAAAGAAACGCATTTTTCTGGATCAGAAACAAATTCGTCAGTGGATTTATATTTACAGCAGATCCCAGCTATGTGGCAAATTGAAAATGCAATCAGAAGATGAATTGTCATACAGTCAAACTTTGTTCGCTCGAACTCGGAGGGCCTGAGCAAATTAGTTTGAGAGATCGATAGTTCGAGTCAACTGAAGTTGAACTAATTATGGCAGATCCTAACTATGTGGCAAATAGAAAATGCGATCAGAGGATAAATCTTCAGATTTTTTAAATGTTATCTGAATTTAAGAAGTGTGTGTATAAAAAATTATACTCATTGTTTTTAAAATTATCTAACTGTTGTAAAAAATCAACAACTGAATCATTCCTACTTCTAAGCAAGAGGATATAACTCTGTTGTGAATATATACATAATATGAAAGATGAATTTCTTGCATATGATATCTCTCCATAATAATCTGTATTGTCAATTTAAAAGCACCATCATGAAAAATGTTCAAAATAATAAAGAAGTTTTCAGTAAAAGGATACGATGCCGCAACCACAGAACCCGTAGAGTTCCATGATAAATCTGTCACCTGAAACTTGCCTAGGAGAGCTGGATTAATCAAACTGTGAATACAACTCACACCTGAAGTGTCTTCATCCAGACCAATGTCAAAATCTGAAAGGAATAAGCATTAAAATTTGTATATACATTTTGTATCATCACCGAATTTTGAAAATTTCAACATCAAAACCTGAAAATTTCAATATCAAATTTTGAAAATTTCAACACTAAATTCTGAAAATATCAACATTGAATTTTGAAATTTTCAACATCAAATTCTAAAAACATAGACATCAAAATCTGACAATAATTGGTGCAAGTCATCCTTTATTATATCTCTAGCAGATTGGTCACTACACAAAGTCAACATAAGATACATGTACCAAAACCAAATGACTGTCTAAAAGGAAGCAACCCAGCAATGACAAAAGAGTCATATATAGTAATCGTGATTTTTGTATGTGATGCATATATCAGTAAAATAATCAATACAATTATTATTTGTATATTTAAAATGATAGGAAATATGTTGCATTCTCAACAGCTGCTGTCAACTTTTCGTGGAAAGATAACAGCTAGAGTTATATATCCATACATACCACACAAATCGTGAGATGTCAAGCTGACATGGGACTGAAAAAAAAGGAGTGTTATGTGACATTCATGTTTCATTATGACCTTGTCCTCTGAGAAGTCAGCTTAATCTTTTGCACATAATTTGTTCTGATTTTAAGATCACTTGTGCAGAATTATTTTAAGCCCTAGGACATGTGCTTTCTGAGAAGCAGGTTTAAATGTGCTTTCCTATTATATGCGCAGGCTGAACTGGATCCATGCTGGTGCAAACGCACTATGTTGGTTTTGTCATGATGCAGCTCATATTTAAGATAAAGCTAACATGAAAACTAAGTGACCAGTGACAGACAGATAGTCCGGTCAGTTACTATGTGACCAAAACAGAAAACTCAATCAATTTTCGTGCACACAAACCAACACAACAAACACATATACACAGAAGATTCTGCATATAAAATTAAACTTACCATCAAATGCTCTACTTTTAAGATTATTATTCAATTGTTTTGAAATATAGGGTTCAATTTTTTGAAGAAATTCCACCAGTCGACCAGATCGATCTTCTGCTAATCTCAATTTCTTTTTGGGCTCTTCATCTGTTTGTACCTACATTAGAACAAAACAAAACAATGTGGACTGCTTTAAAACAAAAGTCTGGAGAAGAAAAAGTGGACAGGTTTAAAACCAAACTCCTCACAGTGATTACCTCCCTTGGCAGAATTGTAATCACTGCCTTCACAGACGTCACATGATGATGAAAGTCACATGACGTAACGTCGAAATTCAAATGTAAATATCGACCGTTACATAGAAAATCTAACGTCATTTTTCTCTTTCTGTTTTATTTTTAACTTTTTGTACCTACGTCCGTTATATTTTATCAAAAAATTATAAAAAGTATACAAAATAATGAAAAATAAATTAAAAAGCTAAAAAATATAAATATCCAAATATTGATATTTCAATGTTTGTGATGGCAGAGATCTCTGTACTGATAAGGGGAGATCACTGCGTAGGAGATTGGTTTAAGACATAGAAACAAAAGTCCAAAGAAAACAAAATGGACTGGTTTAAAATAAAAGAAAAAGAACAAAAAAAACACTGAAACAAAAGTCCAAAGAAAACAATGTGGACTGGTTTAAAATATTTAAAAAGTAAAAAGTTAAAAAAAAACAATCATTAAAAACTTACACCAATAACAGTCTTATAACAGTTTTTATGTTCTTTGTGTATCTTAACATCAGTAATAATTTATCACAAATATGTTGATATAAATATCATATAACTGTCAAAAATATTTTAGTATTATTGTGTCTACCCATAACTGATCAAGACTCTACAGGCCTTTATTCTATTTTTAGCACTGACGTCCATTTTCTGCAGCTAACGTGAGCATTTTTTATAGATCACTATCCAATTATATAGCAACAGACCAAGGTGTTCAAAGTTGAGGTTGTTTACAGCAAAAAATGACGCCAGACAAGAGATGGTGGACGTGGCAGGGCAGATCACAATATCTCAACTGCGCATGCTCAACCAAACTAAAAATACCCAAGATTCCCTTTTCAGCTTCTAAATTCATAATGTACCAAAGTTTAAACTGAAGGGTACTATTTATAAATATAAGTTATAAAGAAATAAAGATAATTACCCCTTCATCTATGTATTTATAGGACTGCGCAGACTGGTCGCAAACCTGAAGTTCCATCGTCTGCGTCTGCTGATCATCTAAGTACCTGTATAAAACATAAACAAATCAATTATAATTATCATGTAACTGGTAACATTACTTTTACTGGCTTCTTACTTATAAGAGGCTACAAAATCATGACAACTTTCCAGCATTACTGGTGGAAAAATACCTCAAGAGTCCCTTCTTGCATCATTTCATGCACAAGAGGGTTTACCTATGTTAGACAGTAGAATTGCCAGTTTGATTTTTTTGTTTGATTTGGTTTTACGTCGCACCAACATAGTATAGGTCATATGGCGATGTTCAAGCTTTACTGGTGGAGGAAGACCTCAGATGCCCTTCTGCACATGAAAGAATCCATAGGCCCTTTCAAGATTCAAATCAACAGAGGTGAGTGACAAGTGGTTTAAAGTCAACAACCTTAACAACTTGGCCACAGGCGCCCCTAGAACTGCCAGAACCAAGGACATTCTGTAATCTACCTTGATAGCTTCCTCACATGAAAGATTTCAAAGTCAGTAAAAATTTTCAAATAAGTAAACCTGGAACACACAGTAGTGAGGTGCAAGTGGTACCACTCTGCCATGAGGCCCCCATTAATCAAAGTGATTCTATAGAACTGTTTGTGACATCACTGTTAAACACAGTAAGTGACATGTCACAACAAGTGATATAAAATCTCTGTCACAAGCATCTTTATAAGAACAGGGGTTATCCATTGCGTATTACGTTGTTACAGTCTAAACAAGGAATCCTGGATATTGTTGAAAAAAGAAATGGATGCTCCGTTAAGTGGCTCAAGAGTACATATACATACAGATAGTTCCATTCAAGCAGTTATAAATACTGCAAAATCATTAATTTTTGTGGGCCACTTATTTTGAATTTAAGATCCAACAAAAATAATTTTTTCTGCTGTACGATAATTTACATTACACTATAATGGGTGCAAGTTGAAAATTTGAAAAAACCTGAAAAACTGTAATTCATAATCATTTTCCTATATAATCTAATAGTAAAACATGATGAAATTTGTCACAAAAAACCTGAGCTTCAGGCATATGCCTGAAAACCCATGCTGACTATTTGCATTTCACTTTCTAAGAATCAAGAAATTAAAAGATGCTTCGAAAAATGTCCCTTTAAACAAACCAAACAATTTCATACCCAAGAAATAAAATGAATTCTTTTCAGAAAATGTAAAAAACAAGGAAAGCAGCATGAATTCCAAATCTAAAATAATTGAACGGTATAATGAATATTCTAGAATGAAATTTTGTTACTTTGAAAAATTTTGAAAACAGGAGTTCCATCAAGAGTTATGAAAAATAAAATTTAAAAGGTGAAAATTGCAAACTGGTTTAATGAAGTCTGTTTATGAGAGATACAATGTTGACAAAATTTCAGGTCAAATTAATGATATAACTTCTATTCATGTATGCCTAGGAGCATTTAACACATCCTCTTTAGTGTATACAAATTTATTTTAGTTTGATTATTAGTTGGAAGCTATAATCTTATTGAAACACTCTCGAATCCGTTCCAGGAACCAGTACTAAGCAATGAATTTCTTGCTCAAGGAAACAACGGCTTGCCCCTGACAAGGTTTGAACCCATGTCGTCAGCTATCCTTAGATTACCAGCTCGACGCGTCAACCAGTCGGCCACGCCGCCACATCCTCTTTATTCGCCATTAATACATAACAGACAAATCAAATTTGTTCATTTCCTATACCTTAATTGTATTAGATATATACGCAGAAAAATTGAATGGCAAATAAAAAATGGTTGCATTTCGTAGAATAAGATGACCTAACAATGTCATATTCTTGTCATATACATTTACTTCCAAGAAAAGCGGTAACAAATTGGATAAAAACTGACAATGAATAATATCATCATCTGACAAAATACCACACAACATAATCATTTTTTATTCACTGAACAGCTTGCTTATAAATAAACACATCAATCAATCATTTCTTCTGAGCATATTGATAACAACTGTTAACTGTTTGAATTAATAACATGAAATGCATGTATTATTGCAATGATAAAATAACAAATTACAAATATTAATATAATTATTGAGTAAGGAAGCTAGTGAATTTTTACTAAGTATACTGTTATTTTTGACAAGCTGCAGAGCTTAAAAAGAAGATTTTTATTTCTTCTGATTTTTACGCAGCTTTGAACCATTAACTTTTCTTTGCCCATAACTCAGCAATCAATCCATCTTTGAGTAACTATTAGTCTAAATACTATACCAATTTTTCTGCAATTGACAGATTACTAATCCTACATGATTTCTGAATCAGGGTGGAGAGACTAATAATTATTAGGATCTTTGACCCCCATTAATTGTCAGGAAAAAAAAAATTGCCCCAAGGAGGATCAAACCAAAAACCCCTTGGTTTTTTGAGCAAAGAGGGCTCTCATAAAATTCAAGAGTAACTGTTGAAATCCAGGGCTTTTTTCCCCTTCTATAGCAAGGGCCGTTACTGGGCAGCGCTTTACCAAAGAAAAATTCTTTAAAATCATGCAGTTTTTCAGAAAAAAATTTCTCCCCCTTTTGCAAATATACTGTATGAGTAGAAATATTCACGGGCTTTAAATTTTCGCGATCTTCGCGGTGACATTCGATCCGCGAATTCATGTTTAGCGCGAATATTTCTACACCAATTATTTCTTAACAGTCATATTTTTGCGCTTCTATAGGACAATGTATGTCAGAGTGTGATATGCTTTCACACTTTTTATTTAAATGTTTACTGAGTAATTGTGTTTTGTTTTGTAAGTTATTCATCATTTAAAATCCTTTATATATGTGCTTTTTTGTATAGTTTGTTTAGAAAAACCAAAACATGATCTGATCAGGTGTGAAGAGGTTTATAACACAAACTGTGAAAAATTATGCACGTTAACGGGCATTCTTTAGTTTGCTATAATATGTCCGCTAGACAATGCCTTTTTCTGTACAATTATGTATTGTTTGACACCTGGTATTGAAAATAACTGTGAACTCCCACGATGATTACAGTTATTTTCCTTATTTTTTAACCTGGGTAGTCAACGCGAATTAATGATTTTCGGCAGTCACCTCCGCGAATTCAAAATAGCGCGAATATTTGTATAGACCCCCAAAGTGGACCTTTCCGCGAAATTTTGCTTCCGCAAATTTAAATACACATACAGTACCATGTAATGTAGCCCCAAAAGTAAGGGCAGGGCTTTTTCCCCTACCTGTGAAAAAAAGTTCTGAAATCTATAACTTAAAGCAAGAAATGTTGAACGACACATATGCCCCACTTTCTAGCCCTTGAATCACATTATTGGTAATTTTGTTATAGAAACTTGCCATAAATGGGTACATGGAAGTGTTCAATTATGGAAAAAACAAGAGCTGTCGGTAGGACAGCACGCTCGACTATTCTAAGTGCTTGATAGTAAAAGAGCCTTGATATTGTTAAATTTTTTAAGTTCACAAAAGGGCTAATTTTTCTTTATAAATTCATGTTATAGGCCTAATAGAGAGTCTAATTATACAGCATTGGCTTGACTTTTCGGAAGGTAATGTCACAAGGGTGTTTTATTGAGTATAATAATACTAATTACCTATGAATACATAAATTTGACAGAAAAGGTACAAAGGCTTGTTATTAAGATGTTTTATCAAGTAAATCACTGCTTAATTATTATGAATGCATAAAATTGTCCCAAAAAAGGCACAAACCCTTCAGTAGTTATTGAGATAACAGCTTACAAGCAAAATTTTACCATGATTTTCTAAGTTGAAAAAGGGGAGAAAAATCAGCCTAAATGCAAGATAGAATTATGGATCTTTGTCAGTGACCTACAATTATGACCCTAAATGCATATGTGAAGTTTTAAATAAATATCTTTAATAGTTATTGAGATATGTAAAACTTGCATGTAAACATTAACCAAGAGACTAAGTAGAAAAGGGGAATTGAATCAGCCTTAATGCAAGATAGAGTTATGGAACTTGGTCAGTGACATACAATTATGACCCTCCAATTATGACTGTAAGTGCATGTGCAAAGTTTCAAGTAAATATCTTTGAAGACCTTTAACCTTTAACCAAAATTTCTAAGTTTCAAAGGGGCAAATAATTCTGCAAATATTGCAGGCAGAGTTATGCAATTTTGCAAACTGATGTACATTGTTACTATAAAAAAGTATTTTAAATTTCAATTGAATATCTCAAGCAATAATTGAGATATTTCGTCGCCTTATTTCCAGAGGGACGTAAATCGATTTTTTGGCAAAATGTCATGTTTGGTATCGTTGGATTCGTAATTTCAAGCTATACAAGATGGGCCGACTTACACCCATGTAGAACTAATAATAAATACGCTATTTTCCGTTCCAAGAAGACGTAAGTCCGTTTAAACACATAATTTGATTTCCAAAAAGTCGTAACTCAACAACCAATGGGAATGGCCGATTTCACTCTAAACGGTGCTAGGGTACAATTTTCACTTGCAAAAGTATCCATTTTTGAAAACTGCATCGTAAAGTAAACATGATTTTGATCAAGTTATGGGAATTATTTTTAATAGAAAATGTAAGTATAAACTAAAAGTACTGTTTTATTTCAGAATTTCTTGCAGCGGTGTTTTAAAATGTTCTGATTTACACCTGTTCCAATGGTTTAGTGAATAGACCTATTTCGGATGCACACTGTATTTGGACAAAGTTTGGATTGGGCAGACAACATCCCCTTAAACCATTCAGTGTGTTATGTTTAACTTTTTTGTCACCATTTACATTATGTATGCACATATAAATAGTATGTAACATACATTCCAAGTAAATGTGTATCCACCTATCTTATATTTTAACACGTTGTGTGCCCTTTCTGGGAAATCAGTCACCAGAACCAGTTAGATGTTTTAACAAGTCATTCTTGGTTGATGTTTAAATTTTATTTTTAAAGCTGCCATACGGTTTTGCTGATCACATTGTATATTAAACCCATTGGGACCTTGTTTGCGTGCCAGTATGGACGTGCGCAGTTCTTTCATAAGACTGTTCTAAAGTTCAAACATGATTATTTTTTATAACTTTTTTTCTGTTGATCACTATGATTTCTGAATATTTCAAATACCATAAATTGATATTTTCAGGAGTGCAAGGATTCAAGATCTGCCTAGTGAAGTATTGGTGAAAATATTCCAGTTTTTACAACTTGAAGATCTATTAAGAACGGTCAATCGTGTCTGTGTTCTCTTCTACAATCTAATTGAAAATTCTGCTGTATTGTGGAAAGAAATTGACTTCTCACACCCACTGGAACTGACAGCAAACAATTTGTATCAGGTGCTTCGACATTCTAGGAAGACAGAAACATTGTTACTACCTTGTGCAACATACCATTGTGCTAATGCAAATTAGACAGAATATTTACGACATCAGACTTCACTTCGCTGGTTTGGATTGACATAACTGATGCGAAAGTATCAACTTTGTGATTCCTGGATGGTGCACCAAATCTAGAAATAGTGAACGTTAGTGGATGTTCGAACCTTATAGATGATGATTTCTTGGTACTTAAAGACAGCACTAAACTAGAACAGATTTATGTGAGTTTCACAAGAATACTACCAGAAACTTTGGAAGTAATTTGCAAAGATAAGCCTCTCATCTGTGTAGATGCATGTGGAGTCAAGCTGAACATTCAAACGTGCCAGAACATTTTGCAAAACACAACTGACTGGAGAGCTTGTCTACTTCAATATATCACTATGTTCTTCTGTTTCCAAAGAAAACTTTAAAGCAGAAATTCTGGATTTATATTTGAACACATCTATTTCAATACACAACCATGAGTACTAGTAAATTCAGTTTAAGATAAGTTATGAACATGCTGGAAGATGATCAGTTACAGTATAGTGATGACTTGTTTGAGAGCAATGGTGAACAGTCTTATGATGTAAATTAAATATTTGACAATGTACCAAATGATTTATGCGACCAGCAGTTCAGTGAGCAAAATGAAACTAACCTAAACACTTTTGACAATGTGGACGATTCTATATCTTTAGCACATAATTCGGATGAAAATTTAAGTTCTATTCCTGATACAGTAACTTTGAATTTTTATGACACTAGCAGATTACCAGAATCAGAAATATCAGAGGAGACATGTGATTCCCACTTTAAAGATTACCAGAAATCTAGTACTGTGATCAATTTCAAAGGAGTTCCCTATACAAAGGTCAAAGTTTTGAGATATACTAAGAGCCAGCCATTGCTTTCAGTGAACAACAATACCAAAATTATATTCTTGTCAAACAAGAACAACTGAAGAAACACTGAGAGAACTGCCCAGTACACAGCAATTAAGAAAAGTACCCGTGATTCCACTAAATAAGAAAAAAGATTTGTCAAGTATGCTAAAGTACATGCCAGCGATGGATCAGGAGTTCTATAGGGGCTGCAAACTTGTGATTGAAAAGCAGTGACTGAAATCAAGCTTAGATGGGATCTGTGTTGGGGTTATGAGAACTGTGTTTGGGTTATGAGAAATTTGTTGGGGTTATGAGAAGTGTGTTAGGGTTATGAGAACTGTGTTGGGGTTATGAGAATTGTGTTAGGGTCATGAGAACTGTGTTGGGGTTATGAGAAATATCAGGTTATTGTTAGTCTGTATGTGCATCAGATAATATATTGAGATAGGGGTTTCTAAAGTATGATATCTGTATTACAGTATGATATGTTGTTTTAGTTTTCATAAAGTTTACTGTTGGTGTTCATAATGTTATCATTTGATCATAAATAGCAATGTTGTTATGCATAAGAAACCATTTAAATTCTTATTGTTATGGTTTTTGGTATTGAAAGTCAAGTGATGACTCAGTTTAAATTGTGAATTGAAAGGTGTTTGGTCAGTTGAGATGAATGTATGTTTAAGGTTCTTTTATAAGCAGTTAACTACAAGTATTGTTGTTGTTTTCAGCTAAGACACAGGTGAATTTTTTATTCTCAATGTAAATAATGGTTGACATAACTGGGCTTTAATACTTTGCTAGTGGCAAGATTTATATCTAGCTGTCAGTCAGAGTCTTTTTAACCTGAGTGCAGTAATGCTTTAATAAATACACCATTCTCATTAAAAACGTCAATGAATGTGGACCTACAGTATAATATTATACCCTCATTGATTGAATATTGTAATAAGAAGTAATAAAAACTGTTTGCCTAGTACTATAATTAATTGGACATATTTCTTTCTTATCAAACTTCCAAATCAAATGTAATAGTGATATATTTCTGTGCAAACTTAGCCATGCTGTATTTTTTGTGTTCCATTAACTGTTCAAATAAACTATTCAAATCATTTTTACTTTTTTCTATGCTCCTGTTATGAAGATGGACGTTTGGACTTTGCAACACAACACATAGGATCTAGTAGGACACACGTAAATAGAGTTTAGAACGACTTTCCTATGGAGGTCACTCACAAATTGAGTTTAGGTCGACTTTTGAAAATTAGCATTAAATTCACACGAAACTCCATTAACGTTGTGTCCTCCACAGAAACTCCTTAACTCCTAACGTTTACAGCTTTTTTCAAAAGTATATTCAGTCATCTTGGTTGGCTGTTTCTGTACAAATATTATTGTGCTTGTGCCAAATATGTTTCTAATCTGACTTGTAACAGAATGCGGCGTCTCCCATTGCGATTCAAACCTTTGTGGTTGAGACCATCAGATATAGTCTTACTGGGATGTGTGACAGCAAACCATTTTTTTAAAAATTAAACTAACAGTTTTCTATTTTGTGAGATTCTTGAGAAAATTCAAATGTATTATTCATTCCAGAAAGTCGTAACATATGATTTGAGACTTAAATTTATTTCCATATGGACGTAACTCGAAGTTGCGTTTTGGAACTAAAATTATAACACAAAAATTCATTTTCAGGGGAATTTCAAAAAAATGTTTTTAATAAATAAGGAAAAGTAATTATCTGATAAGCCTGAAAGTGGACATGCTTATTTAAAAGCATATGACCAATATCCTTTCAAAAATTCAGCTCGTTAGCCCTAGAGGTAAAGGCTGTACAGCATATCAAAACTTTAAATGCGTTTTTCGTGAAAGTAACTAAATGCAACTTACGTCCCTCTGGAAATAAGGCGACGATTTAACTTTACAAAAAAACTTTAACCAAAATTTCTAAGTTCCAAAGGGGCATAATTCTGTCAATATTGTAGGCAGAGTTATCCAACTTGTCAATCTGATGTACCTTGTTACTATAAATAAGTATTATGAGTTTCAATTGAATATCTCAAGCAATAATTGAGATATTTGACTTTACAAAAAACTTTAACCAAAATTTCTATGTTAAAAAGGGGCATAATTCTGTCAATATTGTAGGCAGAGTTATCCAACTTGTCAATCTGATGTACCTTGTTACTATAAATAAGTATTGTAAGTTTCAATTGAATATCTCAAGTAATAATTGAGATATTTGACTTTACAAAAAACTTTAACCAACGCAGACGCGGACGCTGACGCCGGGGCCACTACAATAGCTAGACTATTCGTAATAAAAATAATGAATACTTTGTGATAAATAGTTTTCAAGAAAATGAGACATTTAAGGCCCCTGTGACCTAGATCTTTGAACTAGTGACCAAAAATCAATAGGGGTCATCTAATTGTTATGACCAATCAATATTAGAAATATGAAGACTTTGTGATAAATAGCTTTCAAGATAATGAGCAGAAACCATACTATAACATTCAAGAACCCTGTAACCTTGACCTTCGACCTAGTGACCCCAAAATCACTAGGGGTCACTTTCTAGTTATGACCAATCAGTATGTGAAATATGAAGACTTTGTGATAAAGAGTTTTCAAGATTACAAGCGGAAACCATTCTGACATTTAAGGAGCATTTGACCTTGACCTTTGATCTATTGACCCAAAAAGCAATACGAATCATCTGTTGGTTATGACCAATCATCATGTGAAGACTTCGTGATAATTATCTATCAAGATGAGCTGAAATCCAAGAAATAAATCCCTAGTCATTAGAAGGGCACGTAACAAGCCACAAGAACTAGACACAGAAAGCTTTCTGGGATTCTTGAAATCTCTGGAAAAGGTCAAAAGAAGATTCACAAATATCTGGGTGGGTGGGGACTTGAACGTTCCAAAGATGTACTGGGACACTTCTAGTCCATCCCAGTCTTGCAAACACGCTTCCTTCTACAGACAGGTCATTGAAACTTTCAACGATGCCAACCTCACCCAAATGGTCAACCTCCCTACTCAAGGAAATAACATCCTTGATTTATTTCTTATTAAAAACCCCACTCTTAAGTAAACCAGGTCCATATCGTCCCAGGTATCAGTGAAGTGAAAGTCAAGACATCCCAAAGGATAAGTTACCAAGAGCCTCATATGATTCTCCTTTATAAAAAAGCAAACTGGCAAAACATTTACCAGTCACTAATTGACTAATTAGTGACTATCACCAGGTTATGAAGACAAATGGAAAATACTCTGCACTTTATAGAGAGGATTATGGGAAAATTTCTCAGACACTCTAAACTCTCTTACTGAAGAATGGACTCCATCAAAAAAAAACTTCAATTAGGGATCACCTTCCCTGGGTCAACCAATATGTCAAGAGACTGATAGGCCTTTAAAAAGGTTTTAATAAATCAGGATCATCTTCTGATCATAAAAAGTTTCTTAACATGAAACATCTAGTGCTGAAAAAGGTTAAAGAGGCTAATAGCCAGTATCTTGAAGATATCTTAAACTAAAGCAACACTGATGCCCAAAATGGTCACAAACCCAACGCAAAAGAACTTGAGAAACTTCTCAATAACCTAAACCTTCATAAGGCCTGTGATTTGGATGGTCTCTTTTTGTTGAATTTCAAAGATGGTGTCCCTGTCTTGCCCATAACAATTCGAAATTTAGGAGTTTTCATAAGAGTTTTTGTGGTAGTTTGGTTGTTGATGGCTGGAAAGGTGATTTTGGCTTTAGGTTTTTCGTCTGGTACTGGTACTTCTACTGTTTTGAAAACTTTCTCTGGAAATCCATGCTGTTTGATGCTATGTTTCCTTAAGCCCGTCTCACACAAAACACGGTTGGGCACACGATTCCCATACGGTATACTCGGTTATATACGGGTTGACTGGTACGAGTTTTGAGCTCCAGCCGTGCTTGTGGATTAGTTGGCACGAATTAGACTCGAATATAGCACGAGTATGTACGAATTGAGCACGGAATTACTTGGTCAAGCAAGGTTTCAACACCGATTTGCATATGAATACATACGACTGTTGAACGGTTCCAAGTACGGTCTAGTACGGTTAAACACGACTTTTACTCGATTTTCTCGACTTTCACAGGGTTTACATAGGGTCCCGCCGACTTTTGTTCGAGTTAGGCTCGAAATATCACACATTTGTGTATGTTTTGATATAAATTAACCCATTTTGATGACTTGGCTTCATGAATTTTCGAAATTTCAGCTACGAACACCTTTATATAGATCATTAAAATCAATAAATGAATAAAAAGCTGAAGAAATGTAAAATGAATGTGTCTTTTTTTCTGTGGTGCAGCGGTTGCTGGAGGGCATTTGAGTTTGAATCCCTGGGAGACATGGTTATTGTTGGTTGGTCCTCCAGCTTATCAGAGTCAATAAGTTGGACTGGTCGGTGGGCCTGGATGGCTTTTCTTGTATTCCTTCTATGCGTCCAAACCTTCTTCTTTGGATACATTCTAGTGTGATGCATCAAGTACTCTTGGTATGGTAGCAGCAGTTAGTTGTGTTTTTGTAACGTTCTTGCTGAGGCCGTGTTAGAACGTAATAGGCTGTGTGAGACCCTGTATACCCGTACTTTACCGTGTCGGCCATGTATGTTTCGTATATGAACCGTATTGGTCGTATAGCGATCGTATGAAAGCGTGTGTGCACTCGTTTGAATCATACCGTGACCTTGAGACATTCGGGTGTTATTTTTATCGGGTGTTGGATGTAGGACTTGGGGACGGTCTCGAACAATTCCATACGATCTATATACGACATTGATACGATTGGGCTCACTCGTGGAGTGGACTTCACATACGGCTGTATATACGGTCTCATACGGTCTCTTACGGTCTTGTACTGTCGCTTATACGGTCATACACAGACATGGCATCCGTACCAGTTTTTTAAAAGTTTTAAAAATCATACACGGCTTACACGGATA